AAAAATATTCTTAAAATATATATTATTCTATATATTATATACCACAAATCAGAATGTTTATGATCGTAGATACAATCGACCCGCGTGCATCCATCGCTGTCAGTTGATTGTTAACCTATTGTAAATTTCGTCTGTCAATTCCTGACGATTGAAGTTTCTAGTATGTTATTAACTTTATTAGGCCTAGGGTTCGCTGATGACCTTCTATTATATGTATATATTATACCATATATGTACACATGTCTTAGAGTACACAAAACATTTGAAAAATATAGGTTTTCTTTAAAGGCCTGTATCTTTGTTAAATAACATAGTTCTTCGATGAGGTTTACTTTATTTGAGATACAAACGATCAAACTTTCCGGTGGTATATATCAAAATTGCAAAAAAATATTTTTTGCGCTCCGTAGCACTTGACGAACATCAAGGAAAAGTATAGTTTGGCACACTCCTATTTAAGGGTGCATTTTACCCTCTAGACAACCATTTTGATAAAATTGATTTAACGGATCAAAAACTAGAAAGTTCAAACTTTAAAATGGTTTTTGTTTCATCAACTTTGGATGAATGGTAATAAAGCTATGAGATTATGAAGACTAAGTAAATTTTAAAATAGTTTTGGCCAGCTTTTCGGGTCAAATACCCCACTATGCGACATCAGTGCACGCGGTGTGGTTGCCGTGATTTACGGTTATCGTTTGTACGCAGATTGCCTGGCTTTAGGCGTTTCTGACCCCAATTCTTAATTGCCAATAACTTGAAAATGAAGTATCCAATACAATTTCATTATTTTTTATTTTCGTTTTACTTTGACATCTGGAATCACCCCATTAACGTGTTGACTGGCACGTCAGCTACATATGGATGACACGTATATTGCAAAGAGGCTGTATTATTTAACCACCGTTACAAAATTTCTGGGTAAAATTAATATTGCAGTATAATTTAAAACAAGACCAACAGCCTCTATTAACTAAAAGCATATGTTTTTAGCGATTCATGACTTAAAAAAAATGTGTGTTTAACTACGTACGGCCTATTTCACTGTGCTAATAATCAACGTGTTAATGTTTCTGACACCAGTAGTCGAATATTCTGTATGAAACTTTGTCAACTGCAGCTTTATTTTACATCGAAAGTATGATTTTTATGAATGCACTGTTAATAATCTGTAAATAGTGAGATGAAGCCTCACAGTAAGAGCGCCATCAAATTTGTGTTTTGATGTTTCTTTTCGTATAAAAATTCAAGGCACGAATTTTATTCAGAAGCCTTGTTTTTGTTTATATGGTCGGTTAAATAGAAACATTTCTAACCACTGGGATCCATCGAATACGACGATATGATTAAAACGTGTTTCAAATCAATGAATAACACGCTCAAATGCAGCGTGAAAAATATTGTTGATTTTATTTGCAATAAGTCCATTAACTATTCAATCTTGCGAATAGAATACTGTCGTATTTAGTCTTTCAAATACCCTCAGAGGAAGAAGTCACAGGGGTGTAAACTATAGAGTTTATGATGGCCGAATCGATACTCTGATTCATGTGTCACAAAAAGAACAATTCACAATTATAGAGAGCGTCGTCGTTACACCATTTATGATTTCTTAATAACATATTTTTACTTTTTCCGTCCGTAATTTTTTTGGTCGTACATTTATTTTTTCTGTGGTATAATAAAAATGTTATTATTATTACCATCAATATTCTAAATAAATTTCTCGCACCACCTTGCATAAAATCTTTGTCACAACATTTTTCATCGAATATTCCGTCATATCTACCTCCTGAAACTTTATCGCCTATGAATATGGGTTCAAAAATCCTTCTTGTACAGTTGACAGTGACGATGTACATATGTAGAGAGGTAGCAAATTCAGTAATAAAGTGCATCATGGCTGTAAGAAAATGATACCTAATTTAGATCTTGCTTAGTGTTGAGCAAAGCTCAAACAAAATCCTTCTAAATCAGATACCCTTTTACACCAATGCTATAACTTTGGCAACGTTGAAAACTGCCCTAAATTCAAGAACCCTATCTGGTACGAGCCCGCAGAAGGAGCTTATATTTATAGTCCTAGTAAATTTACTACCTCACTATATCACTACCGTCAACTATACACGCGGTCTACAAAAATGAATTTCATCCTTAAACTTGGGAATTCAGTTTTTATCCACAAGCAAAAATAACATGATACTCGCCACTTCTAAAGGCGATTCTTCTTGTTTTGTTTCGAACGGTTAATTAACAAAATTTTGTATCGAACAAATTTTAATTCGACTCTTGTTCTTTTCTTTATCGATATCCTTGTGATAGGTGACTCATCAGAAGCTTCATTAGACGAAGAGTTAGATTGTTCCACGACATATTGTTCAGTTATTGCAATAACGACATTATCAAAAAATCACGATTTTGAGGAAAATGAGTTCGAATGTTTTAATCGCTATAATTTTGTATGAAAATATTAGAGTATCTATCATGACGTGGTAAGTTTTGAAAGCCCACTTATAGGATTTAATTGATAAAAAGTAAGGACAACAACCGTTTGTCCCATACTGATAATTCAAAAATTGCAAATTATGAGTTAACTGTTTCTTCAACAACCACACTGGTTTAGTAACGAAATACGTGATTCTACTTGATAATAAAATATATGACATAGTATGGTGGCTCTTATTTTCAACTAACGAATTTTTTCTACACCGTTCTCCATATTTGTTCCAATTAATAAAAACATAAACTGTGTGAAGTTTGAGTTCGAATGGATAAGGGGAAAAGCAGCCTGGGCCCTTAAACATTCAAATAATTACTTGAACGCACACAAAGTCGACTTTATTCGATTATCGTTTAAGTTAGTAAATACAAATATATCAGAAAACATGTCATAACAAATTTATTTTTGGTTAAACTTTCTTTTTTCTTATCTTTTTTTTATTTATTACACATTACTTATCAACTTCCATTACAATAATTTACAAAAATTGTGCATTTTTCAAGATATTACAAAAAATTTTGCTTAATTGTCCTTTAGCGTTCGTAATACACAATACACATTTTTGTAAACTTCAAAAAGTAAAACGTTCAAAATTTAGAAAGATTTACAAGTTTTTCAGGCTTTATATTTTTTTGTCCAAAACCGCTTGTTGCAAGCAAAAAGTAGTAGAACATAAGCTTGTGTAGATCTACAACTATTATCTGAAATTTTTTCTGATATAATCAATAATTTAGAAGACAATCGAGTAAAATCGAATTTGTATGCGTTTAAGTAATTATTAGGTATATTTAAATGTTTAAAGGCCCAGGGGCTCCTTTTCTTCTTATTCGATCAAGCTCGAACATCACATAGATTTTTTTTTTTATTAATTAGAACTATTTTGAGGGGCGAAACGAAAAGACAAAAAAAATTTGTATCGTGAGTAAATAAAAGCCACCTTAGTGACATCGATTTAATGTTTCGTGGAAGCAAGTCGTAAATTTACACTGCACGAAAATGTGTGTTTTCAGAGAACAATACAAGATTGTTATCCTATATTTGATATTAATGTCCTTTAATGAAAAAATTCATTACTCGTCTGAAAATTATAAAGCACCACAGATTGATAATATCCCCACTGTTAAGTGCGTCGAACGCGCGAAGAAGGTTCATTAATATAAAAACTTTTGACTAGAAAGAACTTTGTTGTTTCGCTTAAGTAGGTACTCCGTCATGATGCACGTATAATGATCAGCTGATTCATAAATCACACTTACAAATATATTATACAGAAACTCCTGTATCCGAGAATCTATTATCCAAATACCCTGATTTTCGAATATTCTGTTATCTGAACGAAGTGTCTCTCAACAACAAATACCTTCTCCTAACGAAAATATGTAGTGCTTACATGCAATAGACAATACTTTATTCTCTTAATTTACTTTAACGTATTTTTACATTAACATACCTGCTGTATTTATATGTAACTGTACCTTGCATTTTGTTTAGAACTTTTGTGTTCCTTGTTGCGTGGATGAAGTACATTTGAGCAAATTTCCCCATTGTTTAATTTGCATTGTTAGTTCAGTCTTTTACCCAAGACCCTCACATTTTGAGATAACTTCAAAAGTATCACCAAAAATTAGTGCGAAATCGGCGTCTCTCCACGATTAATGGTTGTTTCAGCATTATTTGACAACCACAGTGTTAGTATCACAAAATTAATATCACTGTATTCCGAAAAGTCTACAGAATCTTCGGATGCAAACAGAAATAGAGTATCTTTTATGGTTACGTCACAAACTTTGTGAATTACAAAAATATGAATTTTTATCAAAATCAAATTTCTAAAAAATTATGCGTGTAGGAGAAAAATCGCTTGCAGATTTGTAATCAGCGCATGAAACACTACAAGAATCGGATAACGGGGATCGGAATGCTGATTGGCTATTGGACAGTGATAATCGGTTTTCTACTGTATTCAGTTCACCGATACTTACAAAAATCGCTTGAATATTTTACTCAAATGGGAAATAAAAATTTCACTGTCCAAATACAAAGAATTGCTGCATCTGTAAGTCTTCGTCTCACAAATACAGGGTGTAACAAAAATGTTGAAGGACCCGGAAATGGGAGACTCGTGAAGTGATTTGAAACAACTTTTTCCTTAGCAAAAATGTTATCCGAGGCTTTCTTAACGAGATATTAACGAAAAACCGTGACCAATCAGAGTGCGAATCTGCCAGCTAATCGCAAATCGTAGTCAACGTTACCGTGGAAACTCGGTCGGCAGACTCGTACTCTAATTGGTCGGGGTTTTTCGTTAATATCTCGTTAATAAAGCCTCGGATAACATTTTTGCTAAGGAAAAATTTGTTTCAAATTACTTCACGAGTCTCCTATTTCCAGGTCTTCCAACATTTTTGTTACACCCTGTATAGTTATATTTAACCAAGTTCCCTCCGCATCGGTCGATGTGAACAGTTAATTTCAGGTGAGAATCATTCCTTAATTACAGATATTCGAATGGAAAGACTAGAATTTCGTGTTACATATTGTGGCCAGACGGAGATTACTTGCATAGCAGAATTGAGTATTCGTGAGTAGTTCAAGTTGCAAAAGTCAGATTTTGACTCTTAAATGCGTAAATTGTCCCCCTGAAAATACTTGTCGAAGCTTTCGCAATAATTGTTGAAGTGTTCGCGAAACACCAGCCATAAGTTGGCGGTTATTTGACAAATAATTTACGTTCAGTCCTCTGTGTAACTCTTATTAAAGATAATGACAACCATTTTGAATTATTCCGTATATTATTTAAATTCAGAAATTTTTGAAAAGCTTGAAAGTATTCTCGTTATTAAATTGAGATGAAATATACCGTGTTTTAAAGTGCAAGAATCGTATTACGTGGACCAATAGGTACTCCACTATTTCCTTTTCATAAAGTAGTAAGAAAGTATAAATTTACAACATTTTTCCACCCTTCAAAAGGACAGTGAATATTGTAGAACGAGAATATTTCCCCGAAAATAAGTACCTACTGAATTTGGCAAAAATATAGTGGATTACTTATTGGTAAACTTAACATTAGTATTAAAACCCTAATATTATTATAAAAATAAAATAGATCATTAGAGAATTAATTTGTATGAAAAAATTTACTAGAACTCAATAAAATCACGAATCTTATAAAGGGTGTCTCACCTGATATTACCATCTTGATTTACGTTACTATTATCAACCATAGAGAAAAATGTTTCGACAAAAATTGAATGGTTTCGAGAGTGACACATTCTGATGATATTAATTTTTGTGTATGTAGACACGTAAGGGACCTGTGAAGATCAACTTAATTTTTTTCACTGGAATCAGATGCTTTTAATACATTAATTGATGCAGCTCGACATTCTCAATAAAAAATTATTAACCTATATATGTCGAAAAATTATTAGTTTACTTGATATTTCAATTTAAATATTGTGAAGAAACCATCACTCTTTTGCCAATGTTAGCTTTGTCGGTGTGTTCAGCAGCGTCGTGAGATGTTAACAATTGAGAAGTATTCAACCACTGTTCTAATGCAGACAAATGCCTACTGAATAGCTATATGTATACCTAACTAAATAGTTTCTGTTATAAACTTCGTGTTATTTAGTTAGTCTATGTGATCGTTCCAAAGTGATCTACACAAAGGAGGGAAATGTAAACATGGTATCAGTTTACTTTGAAGCTAGAGAAAGTGCAATACACACAGAACGATTGTATGCGGAGAGATTTCCTCATAGAAATCATCCATCCCCTCGGACATTTAACACGTTCTCTGCGGTACGAGACATTGGACCCTCTAATGTAGCTTGGTCTTGTGGGCTTATTTTTCGTTACGGGCTATAAATATACCAATAGGTACGGAGCATATTTCTCACGGACTGAACAATATTCAAATTTGAATATTTCCTACACTAATAATTTTTTTATATACATAGATCGATACTTTTTTTATAGAAAATTGTGCGCTGCATCGACTAATGCATTTAAAAACATACGATTCCGTTTAAAAAAACAAAATTGAGTTTCACAGATTCTTCACGCGACCACCAACAAAAAGTTCATAATATCAGAATGCACGCACCTCGAAACCATTCCACTTTTATCTGAAACATTTTCCTCTACAGATAATAATAGTGACGTAAATTAAGATAGTAATATCAGGTGAGACACCCTGTATATGCGACCGATTGAAGGAGGTAATAATCCACTGGTTTTATACATTTATTGTTAGATGAAGATTGATTAGATTGTTTTTAATTTGGTCACAGAACGATTTTTGTTGTAGATACAACCTAGTATTCCTCAGTGTGACATACATAATACCGATGACGGCAATGGCGGCATGTTACACACTCATGGGCCGCAAGCTGTGGGGTTCTAAGTCCATAGGAGAGCTCACGCATTACCAGAAGAACTCGATGAAATCCAAACGCAAGGTAGAGGTGTTTCAGGGGATTTTCTAATAGGAAGAGTAAAATTTACGATTTTTTTTTGCAATGAAAGTATACATCGCAACATTAATCCGTGAACTACCATGAGACAGTGGCATTGAACTTGCCAGTTGCGGTGGGTGTCATCGATAACCGGTGACGTTAGAATTAGGACGTTAAATAAACTGTTCATGAAATTTTCAATTCTATTAGTATTGTCTCATAAACCGACAAAGTTCAATTTTTTATGCTGAATTTAGATAAATTGGCGTATTCTGAGGATAAAAGTACTAAAGTGAATTTGTCCTAAGTTTTAATTCTATTCCTTTCATTATGGAAAATCGTTGCAGATGGCCTACATTTCGAACATGCTTCATGAAAAAAGTCAAATATCTCAGCAACGGTAAGTTATAGGACAAATGAAAACCTTAGTACTTTTATACTCACAATACGCCAGTTTATCGAAATCGAGCATAAAAAATTGGACATTCCATTTAAAAAAACAAAGGTAACCTCTATATCTTCTCTACGTCTCCACTTGTAAGAATACCATTTATACCATATTATATAGTTTCTTAAACCCTGCAACTTCTGTAAGTAACATTTTTCCGTATTGTTTGAAATAACCAAGATATTTAAGTGGTTAGAATTCGTGAGACACTGTATGTAACCCCATTCAGGGCCGTACGCGTCTTATACGGGATGTTAATACAAATGTGGGACACTTCCACAGAGCGAATTCTGCATGCAAAACTAAGACGAAAATCAAGAATGACGAAATTGTGTTTGAGGTTTCGTTTCCGAGTTATTAACTGTTGAAAATATGGGCAAAATGCACGTGAAATGCGTCAGGCACAATGGATTATTCCATTTGAGAGACGCGTTCTTTAACTGTTTCACGAGTTTGGGTAGTTTATATCATTGTTTTTTTATTCTAAATTGAGCTAGGCCATCGATTGATACCATGTACAGTAATGTCTCGGTGAGCGCGACGAACTCAGGTTCGCTTCGGAGCATTTGTGGCAAGGCGGAAAGGTTTTCAGCCCCTCATAAATTTGTTTTTTTTTGTACGAAGCTGAGCCTCTGCTTAGCTTCTGTTTACTCTGTTTTGAATGGTTCCAGGAGGGGATCCCCCAGTGGTGGAAATAATGCTGTTCGTGTCACATTCATCGAGGAATCACTGTATCAGCTGGAAATCAACTGCTATAAGTAGTATTATACTACTAAACTATTGCGCCAGAGAAATTTCAGGTGTATTTTTCCTGTATTTTCAATAATTGATAACTCGAAAACGGACCCTCGAACGCAATCTCGTCATTCTTGATTTTCGTCCCAGTTTGGCGTGTAGAATCCACCCTGTGAAAGTATTCCTCATTTTTATTAACACCTTGTATAAAATAGAAATAAATCAATAAGATTCCTTAAAAAAAAATTGCAAGCTTGTTCAGTTTTGCATTTTCTTTAAAAACAAGCTAGCGTAGGGTAACTTGTGGATGGGAGTGTAAATTTTGATCTATGGCCAAGGGGAGAAACAATACTAACAATGTTACAATTCTAAAGAAACAGCACTTTGTTCATACTTGTTTACAGGTCGTGAAAATGTTCATCACAGTCATTGCAATATTTGCAGTTTGTTGGCTGCCCTATCAAGGATTTTTTATTTTCGTTTATCACCATAGACAGTTCACAAAAATTAGCTACGTTCAGCATATTTACTTAAGCTGTTACTGGCTTGCTATGTCAAATGCTATGGTAAATCCTATCATATACTACTGGATGAATAGTAGGTAAGTTCGTTTGTAATGAACGATTATGAATGTTATTAACTTTGTCAATTAATATCGTACTAATTTTATTAAAGAATATTTCTCCTTAATGATACTTATTTACAATAACACATTGTCAGTAATCTGACTATTTCAAAAAAAAAATTTGAATAAAACGTTTTTCCGAATAAGCATAGAATACATTTCATACACATGATGCTTATTAACTTATTTGATAATGAAATGTTAATTTTGTTAACCGAAATTGTTTACTTATCGAGGCTACTGAAACTACAGAAACTTTCATTTAATGAAATAGTAAATTTTATAGTATACTATTAAATAGTAATTATTGAATGGTTTATTATATAATCAAATATCAATTAGTCTCATTTATCATGCTCATTGAATAAATATAATTTTAAATATAACATTATTATTTATTTGTTTTTCGGGGACTTATTTAAATAAAATCAAATCAATTAATACTAGAATAGATTTATGTAATTGATAAGTAAGAAAATTGAATTAATTTTTACAGGTTCCGAATGTATTTCCAAGTAATAATTTGCAATTGCTGTTGCACAATAAATCAGGAAAATGTTGGGAGACATCAAATGCAACAGTTGGTAGGATGTCAACGATCAGATAATATTCCTTGCAACTCAGGTGAGTTTCTATATCAGCTCACTTTTCGTTGTTTTGTATAGTTATTCCTATTCATTCACTTGAATTATTGATCGGTTATTTTAAGGATATTTGAAAATGTTTGAACGTTTTGAAAATATTATACATCCAAGGAAGATTCCGTCTTATCTCTACTTTTACACAGTAATTTGATTTAAAATTGTATTGTATACTTGTATTTAGAACAGCAGATTTTTTATTAAACTATGATGAAGATATTGCTAGTCAATGTCAGTTTTACACATTTGATAACAAAATACAAGTGCAATCTATATTTCGTATTATTATTAACCACTTGTACTTTTAAGTTTGGAATTAACTTGAAATGATTGCATTTCTAATCCTCTTGCCCACCAATTTCTTTGTTAAAGGGGTAGCCTCAATTAGAAAGTAACTTGAAAGTTTCAAGAATAAATTCAAATCAAACGTAAAAAATAAATTCTTATAAACAGTTAACATTCAAATACACCAATTAAAGAAATCTGCCATTACTATTCTACATCAACCTTAAGATTTTAATATGAAAATAAAAACAGTTTAAGTTTTATTTAGCTAATATCAGTAATACCGATGTTTTAACAATCAAATTACTTTCAGGACGTTTTAGATCAACCTCAATCCGCTGGAAACACAGCATGGTCGACAGTCAGGTACAAAATTTGCAGATGCGATCGATTTACGAAAAACGCCGCTCCCATCGAGATGCTACAATCGTCTGAACCATACAATAATATCAATCAGCTATGATTATTATGTACTAAATAATTAAGTATAACTAGGATTCGTGATAACGATGTTTTTGGTAATTACTGTTCACGATAATAAATTTTTGTACATAACAATTTTACGTAATAACCCCTGACGACCGTTTTTCTGTTTAACCCATTAACTGCATTTGTCTACTATAGTAAACGCCTACTTTATCACTTCAGTGACAATATATGAAACATCTCTTGCCGATCAGCAGTACGAGATTTCTTTAAATTGTTATTATCGTGAGTTAACACACTGTTTATAAAAAAAAATATTTTAAGAAATGGTTCTTGATTTTATAAAGAAAAGAATATTTATAGAAAATACCAAAAAGATGCAGTGAGCAGATTAAGTAATACAATTAAATGCCAGCCTGGAATGAAAGTTATGGAGAGTGCAATTGAGTCTAATCGTTTCTAGAATATTGATAGAAGATCAGCTGTAAAATTTTGTATAGGTATACAATCAATCTTAAAAATACACATTCATTTTAAGAAATTAGTGAATAATATTTATTTTACCCTCTAATTGGTCGGGGTTTTTCGTTAATATCTCGTTAACAAACTTAACTCATTAAAAAACATGGGACGGGGTAATAACGTCGAGCACTGAGAAAAAGGGGAATAGAACGCGATCAGTGAACCACTTATTTACGCGATACTTCTTAATTACAAGGTGGGTGACTTCGTTGCCGACATCAATAGCTGCAACAATAGTGGAAGGTCGTAAATTAATGAGACTCAAAGGACTCCGTTCAATGTTATTACAAGTAGTTTGCTACCACACCGTACATGACTGTGCTACGGAGTCGCACCAAACCCGCGATTTGCATTTCTATGACTGCTTAACATCTCACCAATTTACAACCCTCACTACATTTAACAACCTTATGTGACACGTTGTTGGCCTAGTCTCAACAAACGCTAACATATTATAAATAAAGAAAAAATGGCATTCCATTAACCCTAGTGTTCATAAGCGGGTGTCCACTTGGGACTTCGAGCTCGAAATTTTTTATGACCCCGATAATATATCTTTAAATCCCTTCAGATCCTCATTATTTAACTAATTTCTGATAGATTTATTTACACTTAATATATTTTTTTGTTAATATAAAAAAACTTAACTTTAAGGTTTACAACACGCTTGTTTCATAAACGGAGTACCCGGGTTTCCCCAAATGGGAATAAATCATAACTGACGTATAATTTAAGGATGAAATAATTTATAGTAGTTCGGTGTACCATGTCTTTGCAAACTCGATTTTCCCAAAAACTAAGCTTCACGTGAAACAATTTTATTCTAGTATATTGTTTTCTTGTTTTTTCGCGAGGAATCACATTGTGTCCACTTGTGTATATTATTCGATCGCACCCTGTAAGTGGTGTATTTCATAATTACATACCCTCGAAAATTTTGCCGCTGATAATTCTTCCATTCTTTCGCACTAAACTTACACACAATAATAAATTTATTTTAATATTTATCAATGTAAAATACGCGAAAACACAGTAAATAAAATAGTAGACAAAAGAAATATAATATTCAACTTAAAGATACTCAAGCACGTCCGCTCCGCTCGAAGTTGCGTACAAAACTGAACCAAAACACCTGGCCACTTTCAGCAACTATGTCGCTAAATTCCTTTCTTTAGGTCAAAGAATATAACACGCAGTTCCCTCAAAAAGAAAGAGAAAGTTAAAATCAGTTGGAGGGTTGTAAATAATGGTCATTGGTGGGCGGGTACCTGGATACCTCTTTTATAGTGAGGAATTTTTCGATTATGAACGCTAGAGTTAAAATAATTAACTAGACCTTGAAATCTCCACCACTACCATACCTGCAAAGAAAGTTATTTATGTCACATTATGTCTCTCTTTATACTAAACAACTCTTGTAAGAACATTCTTTTATTACATGAGATATTCCATTGGGTCCAGTCAAAACAGACACTATAGTTTCCTATAATATTTTAAAACAACTTACCTCCCAGTGAAGTGTCCATGGAAAAGTGAATAAGAAACACAATCAGTTTTTTAGAAGAACAGTGCTCTATAGAAAATATTCCTTTAAAACCGATGATACGAAAACGACCGAAATCCGTAAATGTCGTGGAGTTTGGATCAAAGCGGAGGGAAACAGTGTAGGAATAGTCACGTTTATTATATGTAAACGTTTATTATTCCTCAACTACCAGTAAGGATTCTATAACCCTTTCGCTGCGGGAGAGCAAAATTAGCCTGAATGCCAAAATCTACGCGGACACGAAGGGTGACAAACGCATTAAGCGTTCCATCAAGTGATCGTTTGTCACATCTAACGACGGAATGATTGCCAGAACACAAGAAATGGCTGCTTCAACACGACCTTTTTGAAGCTGACAAAGATATCCTGTGCGGCTCAGGTGTTGTTGATTGAGGGTAGGTTACTGAAATTGGTTGTTATCCATCGTGTCACTGCATGACAAACTTTCAACGCATTTTTCTCAAAATGATATTTTTCAAACCGGGCGCACATTTTTCTAAAAAACTACTGGATAGATCAACTAGGAATTTTACACACAGTGTATAGAGTACTCTTCGAGCTATCATTCGATCTAAAAACTTTTTAATATCTTTAAAATTACTATTTTTTCGGGACACGGGAAACAGAAATTTTTTGGTAAAAATCAGAGTTTTTCTTGTTTTACCTTATTTATCGTCAGTTGAACGGTAACTACATTTGTAGAGAATAAAACGAAATTTTGTTTCTTTCTTCCAGATGACCAGGACGCAATCAATACACATGATTGGGTAGCTATTTCGCGATATAACATGTGCTTTCTTAACTTCTATAATTGATAATAAAATGTTATATAAAAATTAGTGTTATTAGTGGCTTCCTAGATTTCTATAATTTTCTTTAATTTAACTCCCGAAAATCCTATTGAAAACGGGTGTCTACACTAGAATACCCCTTTAAAGGTACTTAAAAATAAAACCATGTTCATACTTACATACCAGCGATTTTCCATAAGACTGTGGTACTTGTAAAAGCTTTATTTATAATTAATTTACAGTCAAATCGTTTAAACTACTTTATTTAGCCTGTAGATATGCCAACTGTTGGTAAGTAATTCGTAGAAAAATATTTTCAGACATATGAAATTAATTTCTGAAGAAATGTTACGTTTAGAAGCGTTCTCCTTTAAATTGTTAACTTTTATGGTCGATAAATTAACGCATGAACGTACATTACATATACAATATATTTCGTAGTCCGTCCTCGAAGAGAGTTCAGTCTGTGTCGACATCGGACCAAGAAATTAAAGTAAAAGTGAACACAAATGCATAGGAAACGGAGCGTTATATCTACCCACATTATCTTCGGGAAATACAATTGACTTGACCAACTGAATCCATCCAAAACATTAACAATTGTTTAGTGTCACGTTGTTACGGTATTCTCTCGTTACGTGCTCATAGCTAGGAACGTTTGATTAGCGTTTAGTGAGACGATCGACTGGAGAGACTGAGAAGTTCTAAATATATCAGCAACGAGCTTCTAACGAGAGAATACCATAGTACAAACTTTGTTCGCAAGCAAATAAGTCAATTGAAATGGACGATCCTGAAGGATGAACGTTCTATGAATAAATAACGACGACAGCATGGTTCCTGTTGCCGATCAGTTAATTACACCGATGTGTCTTGGACTGATCTATCTAGTAAAATGTAACGAGTCTTACAAAGAGTCTCTAGAAACACTTTCTGCACAGTGAGTTAGAACACATGGGTTAATAGTAGAAAATATTCAAGCTTTCGCATGCATACGTGAAGATTCTGTACGCTTGTATCATTCTACTAGGAAAATCAATTCTTTCAACGACATGGAGCCAATCAGTATCGAAGATACCCTTTGGAATTCTGTTTAACGAAGCAACGTCGTCAATGAAACTGAAGAGGTATCCTGCAAGTTTGCATGCGGTCCAGCCGCTTTTCGTTCGTCGTTTCTCCTTCTTTCTTTTTCGTTCATGTTCTATCACTATTCTGAACTCGACACTTTCACATAAATTTTTCCTGTCTGTTAATATAAATGCAAATGAAAGATTTGGAGGAGGTTCACGCTTGAATTCCTCGTACGGCAGTCAAGATGGCATTCTACGCAAGATGTCTTTGACATACTTCCATGTCTTTTGACGCTTTCTTTTTTTACAAAACTTAAATATACTCATAAAGATTCGCAATTTTGAGTGAATTCGGGTGTGCGGAGGTTTAAACAGTATAGAGCGCCGACTTGTTCCACTGTCTAAGAAATGAATCCAGGGTCATTTCCCAAATGAAAACGTTCACTGTACACTGAGCTCATTTGATTCATGTATTACTTGAAAAATGGTACAAAATTTGTATAATTATTAACATAGGGGTACTAACATTAGTGTTCTGAATACAGAAATGAAATTAATTAATTGTGTTTTTTAGGAGAATGTAAATATGAAAGTGGTTAATTTGAATTATTTATAAATTAATTTTTTAAATTATACTTCTAAATTTTTTAATTCTTCTTATTGTAGGCATCGGCACGAGGCTTCCTTGTGTGAACAGTGACCGTGGGGTGGGAATGGGTACGTGCTTTACCGTGCCGACGAACGACCGTTTCTCAGATATCGCGGGTTGGGCGGCGAGCCGTCGCTGCGACGCAGTCCGCGACATCAAAAGCGGAAGCCGCCGAACGCTGAGGTCATGTGTGTGTGAGAAAGCCTTTTATAAAGAACGAATGCGATGACGAGAGGCAGTCAGTCTCGATCCGTCGAAGTGAAATCATTGACACGTTCCATGCCACAGTGAAAAAGGCCGTGCATAGCCAGACAATCTTTATGTCGTTCCTCAAGTCATAAATTACCGAAAATGTGTGTCTTTTGTTAATAGAGGGTGTTGGTCTTGTTTTAAACTACAGTTCAACATTAACACGTTCCGTGCCATATGTACCACCGATGGTACACGTTAAATTTCCCATTCAGGCTGCGTGTACCACCGGTGGTACATGTGGCACGGAACGTGTTAAACAACCTTACTCTTAAAACGTGTCAGATTCTTTCCCTCCCCGCTCGACATCCTACATTATTGCGAATTTAAGATCTATGGACATGCGATCGATGCGTCGTTAATATCGTGGAAACGCACTTGGGCGTGTGATTAACTTCGGTAGAGTGTGTGCAACGGTTGAAGGCACGTGGTGAGCGAATGTAAGATACAAAAAGCAAGCGATAATATAATATAAAGTTTCAGTTAAGTGTTTCCGTTGCAACGTAAAAACTTAAGAAGTTATGGGCACCAGCAGGCAATGTAATAAAACTTGGTTTAGTGCCCGAAACGATCTACAGCATAAGCACCCAGTGTGTCCACCATTCCGGGGAGATTCCCCTTGACGCACCTTGAGGCTCAATCCCTCTTTCATTTCCACTCGCTATCCTTTTCTACGTTCGGCAGTGATTCTATATTTACAATCGATTTCTCTACTTCAAAAGCGCCCGGCTAGAATCCCAACTTTTGGGCACTAAACCACGTTTTACTGAACTTTTACTGTGCAAGTAAAAAAATATACAGGGTGTTCGAAAAAAACTTCGACACCCCGAGATGAAGGGTTCCTAGGATGATTTGAAACAATTTTCCTTAGCGAAATTGTTATCCGAGGCTTTGTTAGCGAGATATTAACGAAAAATCCCGACCAATCAGGGCGCGAGTCTGCCGGCCGAGCTCCCGCGGTAGCGTTGGCTATGCGCTGCGATTGGTAGTCAACGCTAGGCTTAAGACGACTTGGAATATAGGCCCTCTGAAAGGAGATTACGATAATTTGCATCTTCTGCATCTGCAGAACGATATTTGCGTCATCTTACTTAAAAGGGGTGATTTTCTGGTTCAGTACAGAAAACAAGAATACAAGATCTACAAACTTTAGCCTTCACTTATCATTTCCTATATGCTAAGGGATCTAGAACTGAGATCGGACTTCTATGAAACCATAACTCAAGAACAGGAGTGGACTCAATCAAGCTCTTTCTACAAACAAGTGACCAAAACTCACCACTCTGCACAGACCTACAGGCAATGATGACACTTGAGATCTTAGGACTCCTGAACTGCTTTGGACACTCGAATGTGAACATGAATAAAAGTGAAGCCACCTGGATAAAAAAAGGAGCTGCATGCAAATCCATCGACAAGGGAACAGCTCAATTAGTTGTCTGGGCGTTTCGACTAGAGTTTTGTCGTCAATATTATAAAGACAGAAAAACGATGGCCTATGGGAACCCTAAAAACCAACGTACCAGAGAAACTAATTTATTGTTACAAAAAAATATGTATGGACTGAAGCACCTTCTTACCCATGGAGACCAGAAAATTTTATACACTTCATCTTAGGAAAGAATCTAGATTTCGATTATCATGTATGTAGATACAGCAGACCTGTTGTCTGACAAGTCCATAATGCTTCAGAGAGCGCACTAGATACATGAATACGATAAACAAGCACATAGAACAAAATATGGCAAATTTCCTTAGAGACCTCCCCAACTTCAAAAACTTCGTTGGAGTGCAATGGTTGAAGGCATGTGGTGAACGAGTGCGCGACGAAAAAAGCAAGTGATAATATAAAGTTTAAATTAATTGTTCCCGTTACAACGTAAAAATCTAACACTTCTGCATCCAAATTTGTATTTTCGAAACCACAAACTATTCACGTGCATAATTAAAACTCTAAGAACTACAAAAATATTTCAAAGGCACCTGTTTATAAACTTAAACCCTTCGATTGTCCAAAAGTAAAAAAATTGTTCTCATGAACGTATCAACTGAGCTCAATGTACGCATAATTAAAAACACGAGAAACATGTGAAGTAGCTATTCCTAGTTAACAGATCAATTTTCAAACGGACGGACTAGAACATCAATATTTTCCGCCATTATCCGAGTCTACTTAACAAGGAATGCGCGTAATTACAATATCACAAAGTATTAGAAACGATATTTTCTTGTGTCAATGAACGATATGATTGTCATTCTCACAGTGTTCAATTTATTATATTCTCGGCAGTCATTTCAAACGTACGTTTCGCTTGTAGTAACACTCATTCGTATTGCTTACCATAACGTTATTGACGATACCTGTTCTCACTCGAAGAACCAATAAAAAAAAGAACAATGTTAAGTTTTATAGAACATTTTGGATCAAAAAGCATGGAGAGATTCCTGTAGATTCATAAAACAAACTGTACCTAGATTGGATAACTTTCAAGAATGGATCTAAAGCTTATGTCTCCCAAGACTTAAATAAAGAAAGCGTCGAGTGTTGTGGTGGAGATAATGGCATCTTCAAGTACGAAAGCAATAGCCTTGAACATTCAAATTGTCCAACTATGTTTTCCCGTAATTTCGACACTAAAGTATGTACTTCTTGTTAGATTCCTCGAAAATCTATTCTCGAAGTTGGTCTCAACTGGGTTATTCAGGCTGAATAACGAATTGAAAGTGATATTTTTGTATTATTTACATTATTTACATCCCTTGTAAAAACTTAACATTGTTCTTTGAATAAAATGGTCTCCTTCTTTCACTTAAAGGAATAACAAGCAGAAATTGATTATTAATAACCATAATATCATATTACTAAATAGCTAAGATGGGCATAATTTTATTTGATTAACAGATGACAAACAGATACAACTTTTCGATTATTTTTCTTTATCAAACATAATTATTGTTTTACTTTCTAACTAGAATTCTGATGTAATTGAAGAATCGCAGTTAAAGAGATGTTCGTACTTATCTGTCGTTCGACATATTTATAAAAATTCTGCCCATCTTTGAAACACGAGAAAATAGCGACAAATTGCCGAAAAACCTGACCGCAAACTTTCCCTTCGAAAAATATTATTCTCTTCATTGGAGTGGCATCAACATTCTCCATGTACAATATTTATTTCACCTGGCAAATCTCTTAATACCTGGAAGATATTTTTCTTTGGCTCTGTGTTTTGTAAAATTGCCTACAAAAAATGAGTATTTGCACAAACGCCCGCAGTTTACTGACAAAATATTATTCGGTCCTGTTAAACGGTCGTTACGATAATACAAAAAAGAGATTCGAAATTTCCACTAAGTTTGAGAGTTAAGGCCTACACCATCGATTTTTCGAGATTTCGTCGCTGAATATCGTGTTTCGATGGAGGGAACGCGTCGGCGATTAGTACAGGATCAATATGCTCTATGTGGCCCCAGTAACCGTTTTAACGACCAATTGGGGCTACGGAAAGTTATTGTATACTTGTGTGTTGTGTTCTTTCTATGGCTTCCGCCTTCGTCACGGCAGTAGGAGAGTTCACTTCACGGTGAAATCGGCCATATCCACCATTTAGCCCCCACGACTTCATGTCAATCGACCTTCGTGCTCGGATACACTATTCTGCTCCTCGAGTCATCAGCCCCCTATCCTTTCTCGTCGATTAACGAGTGGCGGAAAGCGTTCGGCCGAAGGTCGAACGATATTTGAACAGTCTGCGTAATTCCGTTCTCTTGAACATCTCAAGAGTTTCTCGGGTTTGATCAACGCAACCGACTGGCATCGATCAAGACGAGATGCTACACAGCCGTGGGGGCACGAGATTGTCAATGCCATTTCGCCTTCTGTGCGAATATGTCCGCCCGGAGGTTCTGAGCGATACAGATCCCTAGAATCTGAAACCAACACTTGATTTACTCGATTCCGTGGTCCACTTTTCACCACACTAATATATGTTTACCGTATAAATATCCGGTAGAGTCTGATTTTTAAACATTAAAACACCTGAAATTATTATGTAGGTGAAAAATAAAATGGTCCTTTGAAAAATGTGTAAATATTATCGTTCGCGTTGTAGTGTAACAGACATCGTTCAGTTACTTCGTTTTTTTTTCTAGTGCCGTAATCAAAGTTAGAAATAATCTTCAATAAATTTACTATGAGTATGCGAGATATACAGGACACTTCAATTTATCTTTTCATCTACAAAGTCCATACACAAGAAATTTGTTATTATTGCTGTACAGTATGTTTGATTTTTCTTGAGCACTAACAAAAAATACGAGAAAGACGTTGTTTATGTTAACAAAAATAAAATTAACGATAATAAATCAAAATAAATTGTTCCTTTGATCTAGTCATTTACGAAGTATCTGACGAAGAAATGCTTGATGCTGACATAGGAAATATTAATATTGATATTTTCTCTCGCTTTTTTATAAAGACTAAAATAAATTAAAAATCCAGTGTTGATTCTACACTGTAGAATTAGTACTCTGGAAATACGAATGACGACGGACCATTTACTTCCCACCAAGCCAGTAATAAAGCTCTGGAAACGATAACATCACTACTAATGAGAAACGTTCGCTTCCAATCGATCGCATGCAACATCTATTGACAAGTCACGTGATGCATGTACATGCCAATGTAAGCACACAAACTGACAAGATAGCATCAAAAATTTAGCAGTCAGAAATTGAGTAAGGTCCATCTTAGAGAGCTGAACTAACTACAAAGAGAAATTTTAATTTTGGTTCAAGGTTCAACAGTCAAAGGGAAAATTAAGTTAACATTTAAATTTTAACAACCAAATTCAAACTTACATGTAAGTTTTGACAATCCAATTTAAATTTACAATTAAATTCCAGTAGTCAAACTAGTCGAGTGTCAAATTCAATTAACATACGCAAAAATTACACGAAATTTTTTCAATATTTACAGAATTATTCGTTCGTAATAATAATGTTAATAAATTCCGTACGAAAACAGAGAAAACTAAGATAAATATTAGGTTCAGAGGATGCAGCTCCGATGACTTTGACCTTGACATATGTGTTGAAGAATACTCTTCTGAATAACCCCCAAGAAGTTTTAACTGTCGCTCGTTTTTTGTTAAAAAGTTAAGTACCTAGTATTGACAAGTAAAATGACCGATGATCTTGTACTTGACATATGTTGTCAAGGTTACCCTCCTGAGTGACCTTCAGAAAGTTTCAGTTATCAAATGCTGTTTATTAAAAAGTCATTAAGAGAACAATAATACCTTTTTCTTAAACTGTCTCTAACCAACTGTGAATGACTTTTTTTCTTGAACTGTCTTTAACCAACTCTGAATGAACTTCTTATATTAAACTGTCTTTAAACAACTTTAAAACATTATACTGATCGGGGTTGGTTTGGGACAGTTCAAGACAAAAAGTAATTCTGCTGGTTAGGGACAGTTGTCTTTCAATACTTAAAATAACTGGTATAATGTTGCAAACTTTTTTTTACTAATAATTTTTTAATAAAAACGTAAGATAACTAACTTCTTTGGGGTTATTCAGAAGAGTATTCTTCACAACATATGTCAAGGTCAGGATTATCGGATCTGCATCCCCTAAATGTAAATTTACAGAGACTACTCTTATAGTAACCCCAGCATATCCTAAACAGCGATTAAAAATTATCATATTATATTACGTTACTGTTCACTCTGATAGTTAGTACACAAAAATACATATCCAAATAGAGAAGAATACAAATATGATTATTCTATAAATGTGTATGTAATGGGTGAGGTTCACCGAAGGGAATTTTAATTGAACTACAGTATTACTTCGAGAATCTTGAAAAATCCAGCCCAGGATTGTGGAGAATTTTAAGATTTAGAATAACTTTTAATTTGACAATTATCGGTTCTATAGCTGTCTCAGGTGTCACCACGCATCCATTATCCCAGAAGGGTAGAAATCGAGATTCAGTAACAGAAAAGTTAGACTGGTTCTAATAAATGTGTGAACTACTAATATAATACAACTATTTCTCTATTTTTCATTATATTCCATATGATTAGAAATACCACTTGAATCATACTTAATCAGACAAACTTCACAAATCCATTGATAAAAATTTCATAAACTAATAACGAAAAATCAAGAAAGTTTTCTGTTATATTATCTATTGATACTAATTTGTTGATAACTAATTTTGTATGTCGAGTGCTGTTGTTCGACGAGTTGTTTGGTCGATAGATTTATGGGCATTTAGGGTTTTAAAAATCGAGATTTTTAAGGCAAGACTGTATATAACTTAGTAAGCTTAACCCAATATATTTAAGTCATAGCGCATAAGGTATTAATATAAAAGTTAGATAGATCGAAATAGAAGAAATAGAATACGTATAAATATAGAAATGATACCTGTGCAAATGCTGTACCAACCGCGCCAGTCGCAATTGCGAGGAGATTTCGTTCCACCCATTCTTCCCCAGCCTGAATACAACCTTTTTCATAAATCACTTTGGCAACTTCAAAGTTCTGGAAAACAAAGGCGATCGGCTACTTTCTCGAATCTCGCGAATAAAGTGATTAATCGAATATAATTTGGTAGAAGGTAATTTTGAAGTCATTTGAAATATAATACAGTCAGTAATATTTCAAGCACTTTATTAGTGATAGTACGGTTCAAAACAAAACGAGTTATTCAAAAAAAAAAATTGTTCATTAAAATCGATGTATTCGATGAACGTAACAATCGATTTTTCTAATGCTATTGTATATTGTAAAAATATTTTCAACGTCACCCATTCAGCTTGTATCAAAAACAGGGTAAAAAATAATTCCTTTATTTTCTGTATCAAATAAAGTAATGTACAACTATTCGGAAATCACTTTTAAATATTTGAAATATAATTTTTAAATGACTCTATTCAAATAGAGCCCAGATCTTACAAATAAAACTGCACTGGATTTAACGAAAACAAAATAGCGGCCGTAGGAGTGAGTGAAATATAGTGCCTATTCATATTTTTCTTTCTTTTTATTTAGTGTTTCGGTCACGCCACTCCAATTCACGAGAAGTAAAAAATTCTCATTCTTTTTTCATTTTGACTTGTTTTTGTCATGGAAAAGTAACGAGTAAATATACAGGGTGAGACACTTAAAACCGGCCACCTGAATAACTTGGCTGCTATTAGTGATAGGAAAAAATGCATCAGGCCAAAATTATTTGGTATTGAGGAGCTGATCATCCGATGTTACTAGTTTTTTAATAGGTGGAGGCGTCAAGGAGATATCAAGGTCATCTCTGTTTTTTTAAACGGAACGGTATGTTTTTTTACTTACATTCTGATAGAGTATTTCAAGACGAATACAGTGACCTATTGGAAAGGTTATTCGTGGTCTGGGTTAAGCCAATTGTGATAGAAAATAAACAGAAATGACCTTCATATCTCCTTGACGCCTTCACCTATCAAAAAACTAGTAACATCGGATGATCAGCCCCTCGATACCATATAATTTTGGCCTGATGCATTTTTTCCTATCACCAATAGCAGCCAAGTTATGCAGGAGGCCGGTTTTAAGTGCCTCACCCGGCATATATAAGGTTTATTTTGACAAACTTTGTTATATTTCATTGAGTTATAAACAAATTTCGTTGTGTTTTCTTAACTTATTTGTATATAAAACATTTTCCAATTAATATTAATTGATTATAGTTTCTCATCATTAATGATTAATTGTTTTTTACAACCTTCTTTAGGAAAAACTTTTTCAGATACACACTGTTTGTGATCCACATTTATCAAGCAATTGCAACTTAAATAAATTTAAATTTAAATGTTCAATTAAAAAAATCAAATTCTAAGTGAACTTTAAACTTTAATAATTATAGTACATTTTAACAAGTTTTATGTAAATAATTATTTATAATAAAAATAAAGAGAAGCAATTCGAGAATTCGACATTCACCACTGACCGTGTATCGTACTTACCGTTCTATGATATGTGCGGACCAGAAACATAAAAATGCGTTCTTTATATTATTGTCTGCGTGTGTGCTCGTTAATATTCTCAGCTCTCTTAAGTACTTACTTGCTTTATGTAGGCACCTAGCAATGTTTACTTGTTTAAGTACAATATGCAAATACATACTAATCGCGATATAACATATATTTACGGTTACAAGACCAACTGAGAATCGTTAAGTAGAGTGCTCAAAGCGAATCAAATGAGAAGAAAGTAAATATTTAAATAATGATTACATCTACGTCACATTTACATGCGACATTTGCGAACCGCCATTTCAAAGAAACAAAAAATGCGTTTTTCTTTTAAAAAGCCAAAACTTTCTCATGTTTTGAACAATAGCTCTCTGATGCTTTTTGTTTATGCAGGAATCGAGTAGCCCCTCTTTAGTGTCACGTAGTATAATATCTCTCAATAATTCGTGATGTTACTTGAAAAAGTTTTCTAGGAGTTTTTATAGTTCAAATTAAAAGTTGTTAACAACAAATTGATCAAAAGCTTATTAACTGTTAGAAACGTTGCCAGAAAGGAATCACTAACAAATTTATTCTAATAATAGGAAAAATCACTGGCAATAAGAGGCAATGTGAAATTCTAGAGGCGCGACAATAAAGAGAGCTAGTTTAGTGATTGGAATAAAAGTAATAAATTAATGTGGATAATAAAAATTATTAGTATATACCTAATAGAGAAAGTTTGAACTTGCAATTAGCAGGGCGGTACGACATTCATTTGAGAATCTACCTGTAAAACCATAGTGCTGACAACAGTACCAGCGACAGGTACGAGATTTAATTCTAGCCACTCCTCGCCTGCTCTTAGACAACCTCTCTCGAATATACTCCTCTCTCCAGTCTGCATTGCCCGGGGATAAACAGAAACCATTTAAAACAAACTGTGCCAAATCACTTCAGCCTCCAACTATGTAATTGTGTCTGAAGCTGTTAGTAACAGCCTAATATCATTGGTCTATGTAGTAACGTCCACTGATGAATGAGATGCATTGTATGAGTAACTTGAATGATTCTGAAACGTCCCTAGACTTAAACCTATAACAAGTGTATTCGAAGGTAATGTATGAGGTATTCCGTGAGGTATTGAACCCAGTGAGGTGTCTGGATACGTACAGCCTTTTTCACTGTGACAGTCAATATATTAATATTTCCCCCCCCCCCCGCCCCTGACTGATAACCTGGCTACGCCCATGAACAGACACACTAGCTGAATTCCATACAGTAGCATGTGTAATCAATAAATTTTATTATCGTTCACAAAAGCAAAGCCATATTTCCAAGAATTTCATTCCAGACATTCAACTTGTTTTTACATGAAGAGACATCCTCGTCTCATGTAAATCATCAATATTATAATTATCAGAGATTTAGGTTTAAAAATTTTAAAGATTATACACATATTAACCGTTTGAGTCTCAGGGTTCAAACCAAACGACGTGATAGCGCTTGTCTTAGTCAAATGTAATGGGTCTTTTCGACATGAAATCTGAACATCGCGCTGCGTGGGATTCAAACAGGTAAATAGCGATAAAAATACGAGAGTGTTTTTTAAAGCAACAAATTCATTTGAGATAAAAAATATTATAGTACTTCCTGGATTAGTATCCACTTCCATGCAGGAAGAAAATTTGCGATAACATTTTAATTATCGCCATACCTCTTTTGTAGTGTCAGCAACTTTGAATATCTCTATTTTGTGTCTTACAGCTAATGATTTTCCACGCATTGCAAAATTCCAGGGATTAAAGTGTTTTAAGTAAAGAAAGAACCATTCTTGTTAAATGTATGTGCTATGAAGAAGTGTATATACCTCTATAAAAGTTTATAAATTATTCAAGCAACTCATACGAATCGATTCATGTTAGATTCAGAAATCTTTGTCCGCTTTAATATAGTTTTGTCAAGCAAAAGCTGAATTTTGTAGTAATTTTCTGTATGAAGATTGTATGCGAATATGTAAGTTCAACCTTGATTTCTGCAATAGTAATGAGGAGTATGAAGCGTCTAAATGGTTCATATTGTTACTAGAATTAAGTCTATGTTGGTGATTTACAGTTACTACATAGCAACTTTATCCTACTAACAATGGGAATCAATGAGAGGCATTGTAACAAAGAAATATTCTATGGACCAGAAAAGAAACGATAACGATTCAATAATCGAGAATAGGTGGTGATGATAATAATTTATGGAGTTGTTGATCAATAACTGCAGGCGAGTAAGTACTGCTAAGAGAATTTCTAAGAAGTAATTTATAAATACGACAAATAAAAGACTAGTTCTATTTCGACGTTAACTGTTACGAAGGAGTGAAGTACGTCTACTTACGTAACTAGATTTTCTAACGTCGTAGCCACACTGCTTATTTTTAATGATTTCCTGGAAAAAAAGGAAATATTTTAAAATAAAAAATAATTCAATTTATGCATTTATTATTAATACTTCGAAATTTTTATTACAATAAAAGTGGTAGAGGTCTACTTTTTTCGTTTCGAAATTTTAGTGATCAATTCAAATTTTAACATAAACGGTCAGATTGAAATGTAATTTTTAACGATATAATCTTAATGTTAACGATAAAAGACCTTGCCACTCTCAAAGTAAATGACATTCTAAAGAAATTTTTTGATATAATTACATTTGGTTTTCGTTTACAACAACTAAAAGGCACACCACAGGCTTCCCTCGAGCCAATGTCGCTCGACGAACAATTGAAATAGTTATTACGATCCCAGTCTTTAGGCCCCTCGATGCCGCAACACTGCAACTGCGAAACAAAAGGAAATTGAATCCCTGGCAGGTCTCATTGCCGATATTTGAAGTTGCTAGCTAGAGGCATGTTCCTGATAAAAACACACAAATAATTATATATTATAATTAATTATTAAATAATTTTCAATTTTAACGGTAAAATTTAAAGGGTAGAGCTGGATAAGGGCGTCAAAAGTGTCTTTAGACTGAATTGGACTTGTGATGGATCATTGTAACTTACTAAGGAAAAACAATCTTCAATCTTCTTATCTCGACCGAGGGTAAATAACAGGGAAAATTTGGTTTACCGGTTTTTCATCTATTGTCCCTATTTAATGGTATGCAAAAATTTTGTATAAAATCTGATAAATGGCTGCTACCAGGACATGCGTTAGAGAATTATTTCTGATTTTTTGGAAAAATCAATTTTATGATATATCAATCATGCTTATTTCCTAAACTACGAAGCGGTCTTAAGTAGCTGACCGCCACTTATGTATCATAAAACGTACCCAGTCCTCTTGAATCCAATCAATAAGATTCTGCTGGTCGGGATCTTCTCTATAGTGAATAATAAACGCTTGGAAGCCACCAGTGGCTTGCGACTTTATCTGTGGAAAAAATCAAAGTAGCCTTTATAGTAGCAATTAGACAACACAATTGGCAAGCAATTATAACCGTATGTAGACTTTCTAGCGTCATCTATAGTGCACCGGCTCGTTTGATTCGCGTTTTTATTGAATATTCACACAATACTTGTGAAATTGTGCCTTTTTCATACCCAGTAGAAGCAATTGTAAAATCTATACTCTTCTACGGTTTGTCTAGTTTAGTATGAATGAATATTTGATCTCAAAACAATATTATGTTCATTACTTAACAATAAATATGATGTGAGATTGACAAGTGTAAGATTCCTTGAACTGCAAAGTGATACAAAGTACAGAACCTGTAGATGTTGCTTAGCAGTTCAATCGATTCTCAATCTTTTTCCTGAACCATCACCAATGAAGAGAAGCAACAACCATTTCAATTATCTCCTAAGCTAATCAACGGATATAGGTGAAAATGAACTAGTACCAATAATAAACTTAACGCCTACGTTAACCAACAAACGATTTATTGTTCAAGGAACTCATCCTCAAATACCTATAAATATAAATCTTCCCGATGGATTAGCCGACGATAAAACAACAAAAGTATTTATTAGCAAATGTCATTTGACAATTTTCAGCCTAACCCATACCTTAAGTTTCCGAAAAGAAATTGAAACCTCTTAAAAAGTTTCCAGAACATTCTTAAAAATGGTATGGTTCCTTTTTCACCACATCGTGAATCCCAACACCCGAGCCCTACTTCAGTGTAGCATGACTCCGGTTTGGATTTCATCGCATCAATCGGTCCTCACATTATATCTTAAGGAAAAGCAAGTGTAAAAAAACGTGAGTCAAATTAGCCGCGTGTGCCCTTATTGATGGCTCATTTAGTTCTGCTACATTCTCAGATGGTTATACAATACAGTATGTTCGGTTTAAGTGAGAACAGTTAAGTATTTCGTATGCGAATGAAAATTACAGAAAAACTATGTACACTATGTAATGTTCTGCTCTGTACCAAAAAACTTTTGTAGCGGAGGATGTTAATATGTTTTATAGGAAATAAGTTTCAACTTTTACGAAATAATCTGGTCCATACGCTGTTATCTTAGACCGACGTATGCAAAATATTACAGAAATTATGGAAAACAGTTGCAAAGCAACCGAAGATTATATTCTATCTAGTTCCATATCTCGCCTAAAATATCATTTGCTTTAAATAACAACATTAAATGTGTAGAAGCATTTTTCTTACGCATCGCCAATCTCGAATCGAATCTCCTCCGCGCGGTATATCTGCTGTAGCGATTTAGGGTGTTATAGAATTCAATGAATTATATGTATAAGGTGTTTGAAAACGGTTAAAAAACGGTTTTAAAGGTTTATGATCCTAGCTGCTCCTTAAACTATTGTAAGATTTGAAGCTTTTTGGGACTTTAACCCAGTGATTGTAACACAGTGAATTATTAAGAGTCACGGTAAGTAAGTAAAGATAAACATGTCTACAACTTACCCAGTCTCTAAAGATGTAACCTAATACGCCAGCCGCCATTTCCATTAGCAATAATAATGCCAGAAATATTACATACTGCAACGGATACGCATAAGTTATATAGTAACAGGTTTTATTTTGAACATTAGAAAACGAAAAGAAATCGAGTGTTTAGTGTCGCAATAGTACAATGCCGCCCAACTATCCACAATGTTACTATAGCCTTAATCGTAGTGAAATCATCATCTAGTAACACCTTTGATAAAGATTAGAAATTGATCAAAACTTTACTTTAATGACAATCAAAAATTTGGGAGACATTGTATACAGAGCGCATATGATTTGCATTATTTTTGCGCGCTCAAAAAAATGTACAAAGGAGGCGTAATTGACCTGTACGGTACAGGTTATACCTTCGTAATAATATAATCCTTTGCAAACGAATGCCGCTAAGTGGTAGTATCAACATGTAGCGTATAGTATTTAAAGTCTCATTATATAGCAAGTAAATAATTGCATGTTTAAAAAGACAACAGGGCGATACATATGTTTTGTCATTCCTAATATGTGTAATATTTAATATTTCAACATACATGGTAGGGAAATACTTGTGATATAACTAGTCGGAGGATTAGTTCTTCATCAACAATAATGTAGTGATACCGTTTCGACCGCGGATTAATAAAGTGTATGACCAGTCAAACCAATCGCTCGTTTGTTCATTACATTCCCTGGCATTTTTTTAATTTTTTTAATTCGCAAACTTGTAAGTTTACATGTAATATCATTTTTATGAATGGCACATCGTTTTCGATAAAAATGATTTTGAAAGTTTGATGTACACACTTACTACTGCATAGAATTCGGATGGCCTGTCCGTTTGTTACTTGCTACATCTACTTATTATTAGCACGAGTGCGCGGGTATGAGTGCTATGCATATCAGCTTTTTCAAATACGATTTCTTCGGAAATAAAGCCATGAACGAAACAAATTATTTCCTATACTTGACTTATTTATTATTTACGAGGAATTAGACCTGTTTTATTATATCAAAAATTTATTCGCATCCCGTAGAAAATTATATATTTCACACAGAAGATATTCTCGATATTAAAAATCAATAGGTATTTATTTACAAATGACTAAAATATGTCATGGTATCCTGATCAACGTTTCTTTGTACATTTGTGTCATTATAAGCGACTGTCAAGTATGTAAGTGGAGTGTATTAGACAATTTTTCACGTCGAAAGTGACAAGTTTAAATTATGAAATAAAACAAATTAGTCTTAATGCACTTAATAGAATCTTTGAATACTTACTGCAGCTAGGAGGCACGTATTTTCCCTGAGTGCACCAACACACCCCGTAAATCCAATGATAAATGTTACTGTACCTGTAATACAAATTATTATATAAGAATGATGCGATGGATTGCAAAAAATTTTTTTTTAAATACAACAGAAAGAATGTTCGACAACTTACCGACTAGAATGAGGATAAACGCAGGATCAAGTGCAACGTTTGTGAGACGAGACAAGTTATTAAACGTGTCTTTTTCAGCCCATGCCCAAACACCTACCGCCATAATACTCAAACCCAGCCACTGGAACAGGAGGAAACCAAAGGTACTCATTTATTTGTCTAGCACACACGACAAATCAATTAACTTTTAACTTGTATTTGAGTTTTGAATTTGAATTTTATCGCAGAAACTGAACTGTATATTTAAATTTCACAGTCGATATTTAAATCCAAATTGAATTTAAATAAGAAAGGCATCAACCAAGTATAAAACCGTCTGAAATAAACTTTTTTGATCGTTAGGATAAATTATGTCAGAAGAACAACATTTTTTAACAGTTTAATGTGTGTTATCTTTTCACCTTGGAGTACAATAGCAGAGTGTACTTAGATGGAAAATTTTGTAATATAGAAAAGGGATAGCATCCCATTTCTTTAAATAGTATGCAGTTTGTTAACACTACCCTATACTCTAGCGGTTTTACTTTTTGTACTAGCAGTTTGGTAAGTGATCGATACACAGTCCGCATGCGTCTAGACTTGTTTACTTTTTGCGTAGAATTACGGCGGGTAGAAGCTTCATTCTATCACGGATGTTAGAAATATTTGAATAATTCCTTTATTCATAAAATCTACGTTAATTCCTAAACAAGTAAAACTATATTTGAAGATTCATAAATATCGTTCTTATATCATTCAAAGTTTGAACGAAAAAATGTGTGAAGTGCTATTCAATATTTATCCTCGATACACTGGAAATTCCGTAAGATGCAATAAGTGATGTGTAATGAACTTTGATCGTTTTCGTTATAACATAGCAGTGGATTCTACAATAAAGTTCTTAGGTCATAAACTCTACATACTTACGGATGTGATACATACTAGGAAAAGTTTCTAACAACTTTTCATATTTATAAAAAAAAATTGTGCATAATGATAATATGATTATGATGATGATTTAGTGCCTCTCCGAGTTATAGTGACTTTAGGTGTAACCCTCTCAGCGAATGTGCTATGTGATATCCTTGACAGTACAAGCCGCTAAATGTGTCCTTTGCTACTTCTTCAAGAAAGTTGGCTCCCCCTGAATGCTGGAATTGCCACCGAAACCCTTAAAGGCGTGAAAGACCCGAACACCTACTGTTTTTACGAAGGCACTATAGCTCGTGGAGGTACTACCAGAATCATAATGTAACTAGAATCTTGCTCTTGCGACAAATATTAGATTCCTAAATATGTGGTAAACTCTATGACACACGTAAGTTGGTAAAAACATAGTCCTAGTAACAATACGTTCCATTGGAAGGCACTGGAGTATGTCGAAGTCGTAGTTATTTAAAACCTCTGAATGATTCTTTGGTTATTGAGATAGTCCCTAGAAGCTTCTGAACTCTAAAGTTTAAGTCCCCAAACTGTTAGTTTCTTGATGGAAGACTGTGTCTTGTGAAGAAACTATTAACATTGCACAGATCTCCTATTACAATTCCTGATGATTATTTAAACTATTTTACCTCGATCAAGTAATTTACAAACAAACTTTTCTTTCACTTCGTGCTTAATTATAGACGAACATTTCGCGTTTCCATGAAAATTACAGACGCATCCCCGAGTTTTGTGCGGAAATCGAATCAGGAGAGAAAAGCACAATGCAATTTAAACGCAATGGGCCTACATCCGGTAAATTGATTCGATCGCGTCGCCGGGGTTATTTTTATGGACACAATTACGTGCGCGTATCCGTCGCCTGATTCATCCGTTGCTGTTGTAAAGGGGAGCTTCGTGAGAAACAGGGAAAATATGTTTTGAACAGGATTTATTTATCGTGCCGTTCATACAACGAAGTTAATTTACGATTAGTATTTTGTATGTTTTTTTTTATCAAACCAGGTTACAGAAATTTGAATCACGATCAATGGTCGCAGAACATTCCTGGGTATGAGTTTTAGATAAAACAACGTAATAAAAATGATAAACGGTTCTTGGATGTGGCATATAGATAGTATTTACATTGCCTTTCAGTAATTCGAACTGTTAATATTATTCGTTCATTCTAAAGGTAGATCCCCTCGCAACAATGCTAATTTGATTTGTCACGTCGAATTTACCTCTCTTATTAAACCTTTTTACACCAGTCAGAGGCATACCCAATTGCAATAACCTTGATTGTGAACATAAAATTCCTATCCTCTATTTTTTCAAACGAAGCACCATACTGAATCAATCAGCTAAATATTTTTCAAAGTGTCTTTTCTTATTACGTAGTAGCCCAAATAATTAAATAAAATTTGTAATAAATAGGTATGAAATAAGAGTTTTTCTTATTCAATAAATACTGTATCTTCACGCTATGTCTCTACATTAATCACGTAGTTTTGTTATGGCAAGATCTCTTTTTCACTTGCACGAACGATGAAGTTATGACTCGAGGTAGAAATTAGTCACTGCTAGGGAAATTGTTTTAGTTGTTACTAATTGTTTAAAAGCAATTGTTTGTATCTAAGTAATCCATTCAATACTTAATGGCGTGTTTCGAACAAAGTATGTAGCAAGTAGTTTTGTATCTACGATAGAAATGTGTTGGCTGTCTGAAATCAATCTTGATACGGCTCATCAAAACACATTGTATTTCCTTTAAGATTGTTAAATTTATTAGAACTCAACTTTATGTTTGGGCTCTTAATAATAATTTATGTTGTTACTAGAACTATATCCCCAGATACAATTTACAAACCGCTAGAAACTTTATTCTAAAACATTTCTACAAAAATATTTTTAAACATTATAGTATTATAATGCGTGCCATACAGCATTTTTATTTTAAAATTATATACATTACATCAAGCGAATAATCATTTGTTTTAAATAAATTTCTCCTAAACCTAGAGATGGGAAGCGAAAAGATCGAAAATTGTTTTTTCTTTAATGGAGTAGTGGGCAGTGGTAAGGGTAAAATAATTTTCAGCAACGTTGAAATGCGCAGAGGGAAGTTCGAACGCTTCTGATTAAAATCCGGAGCAGAAAATTGCGCGTCAATAACGACTGGAGTAATCTAATTTCAGGAATCAAGCAGCGGAAGCAAAAGAAATACAAAAAAAATCCTTCTAATCCACTTGAAATGGCTCCTCGGCGATGTTTATTCATGCAAAATGCTACACGACCTCCATTTGCGGAACTAACACGCAAGGCTTGACATAAAAACTTTAGTATCTAACGTGATTTGCCATCGTTCAAATAACCTTGAATATTCGATTGGATTTGATCCGACAGTCGTGTTGTACAACATAGGTATATTAACGCTCGAAACTATGGGATCACTTATGATGTTCATAACTTTTAAAAAAACCACACAATTTAATCCAATCTTTCATGTTTATAGCGATGCCAGGTTCTTGTACATAATGATCAATTACAGATAAAACACAGATCATCTTCAATTGAGTTAATAGTATAAAAAATGTACTCGCATAAGTTAAGCGACCATTAGTATGTATGGATAGCTTCAAATGAAATAGTAATAAAGAAATATAAAAATGTATCTATATTCCTTGTATTTAAGTGAATTATAATTAGATCATGACAAAACATACAATTTTATTTAATAAAATACTAATCAATTTTATAATATCAAAAGCATCTTTCGATGAACTTTCTGTTGTATAATATTTTGTTTGAAACCACATAATGTAATCGATACTTATTTTATTAATACTGATGCAGCAGAAGATAACAGAACGTCGGATTTTAGTTGGAAAGCTCATCCAAATACATATGTATTTAAAAAGTCCAAATTGATTACTTGTTCAGTAAATAGTCAAACATTTGTTAGCTATGAGATATACATATGAACAAGATGTTCCTTTTACTTGTAAATAAATACTTCGTTTGGTGCTTTTTTTTATCCCTTATAAAAAACAAAGATTCTATTGAGACGCTTTTACAGGAATTTGAACTTCAACGTAACTTTAAGTAAAAAGTCGCATTGTCGTTTCAAATTACGCTAGTTAATTCTCCTACAACGGATGGTTGGATAAGCATCTTCGTGAGAAAGTGCAGTCCCCTAGTCCTGGTCCTCGTAACGTTACGGGAATATCAAGTATGTCCTACGTAATCGATGGGCACAGGTGAAATACGATAGTCAGAAACGCTGCTCATTGGCTGTGTCAGAAATTGGTATCGACAGGGCTGGATAATTTCCCAGGGGCGTTAACCTATGACTTACGGACTGGTAGAGCTGAAATGTCCTGACAAAGAGAATTCTACTGTTTTCATCACGTATCACCGCTTTGGGCATTGCAAACAGAATCGATTATCTTTTTACATCGAAAGTCACGAAGTTTCATGAAATTAAAATATAGAATACCCCTCCTACGACCGAATACCTAAATATCTTATTTTTTTTTAATGATAGGAGAAATGCTTTAAAGACAATTTGAATAGTTTCAGAGGAGGAGTATCATACACTGAACCTTTTTTTATGATCATTGTTTTCGAATTTATTCAGGTCGCCAGTATTTTTTTATCAGACAGCATGTATATACTTTTTTTATTGCATCATATAGCACGCGTTAAGGTGCATTCAAATATGTCTAACTTATGACCTTGAGGTGAATGTGAACACTGAAAATATAATGATACTATGAAATGAACAACAAAAAAAGAACGTTTACCGACAGCAACCCACTACTCCGGAAGACATGAAGAATCTAATAATTACAGCTTGTGCAGCTATCACGTCAGAAGAGACAGAAACAGCATCCCAATCCGTGATTTCTCGTTTTAGACAGTGTATCGCTACCGATCACACATCACTTTGAACATTTGTGACATAGAAAATAAATTCACATACTATGCTAACATTACTTCAGAATTTCATTATGTTTCCAATGTTCAAGTACATCTCAAGGTTATAAGTTAGACATATTTAAATGCACCTTAACATGTGCTACATATATCCAATAAAAAAAGAAGTACATGGTCTCTACTAAAAAAAGTTCGAAAAAAATGATCTCTGAAAAAATGTAAAACTATTCAAACTGTGTTTGAAACATTTCTCAATTATGAAAAATAAGGAAGATATTTAGG